CTCTCTCTCTCTCTCTCTCTCTCTCTCATTTCTCCTTTCTTTCTTTCTGATCTGTCTCTCTTCCTTTCTGCCACTCATCTTCAAAGAACACATGCGTTCACAATTGGGACATGAATGAACTACAAATATTTCTACACAAATGTACAACTGGAAAAACCAAACTGAACTTAATGAATTAACTCTTGTTGACCACTAGCAAATATATAATAAAATTCACATGACACATTGTTTGCTAATTATTAATATATATATGAGAATTTTCAGAACATTGCAACAATGATCCCACCGCTGATAACCTGTCCCTGTCGTTTTATGCAAGAAAAATTCTGAAATTATGCAAACTGAGCCCAAAAATGTGAAATTGTGCGATTGTGTTTTAATTTTAACAAAGAATGATAAAGGAAAATATCAGAAATTATGCAAAAAGTGATCAAATTTTGTCAAATTATGTGGGGTGCATAAAACTACGGGGACAGGATAACATTCCTCAATGACTTTCTACAGGTCTATATCAGGTCTTATATATATAAATCTATGAAGATGAAACCTGTTACAAATTGTTTGCCTGACGTTTTATAGGGAGACCCAAGTTCTGATGGAATGATAGGTTTCCATATTACACCCCAAGACGCACAACTTTAAGAAGTTTTAAAAATATTTTCCAAGCTTTTGACATGGCAATGGGTCTGTCAGCAGACCTATAGATTCAAAGTGGTAGCTCCTGAACTTAATTTAATGACCAAACGGACCAAGCAGGGTAGTTGTGTCCTTCTTCACCCAGATTGACCCTCGCAAGTAGGGTTGAAGTCTGCCTCTTAAATGTTAAAAACTGTGTTGATGGGGGTGTAAAATACCTACATTTAAACAATGAAAAACAATTAATTCAACAAAGACCTATATTTGTGTCAAAGTCTGCTCCTTACATAATCTAGGTTTTAATCCTTTGTCAATATAATTTTTCGTATGGTACAGCAAAAGAAGACTTATCACAACAGTTTTTAAAAATGGCTATGTTTTAGCCCTTGATCAAGTGATTTTTTATATTGATATGTGTCAATCTGTCACCGGATAAAAACAATTCTTGCTATTCAACATCTAAATTATTCGAATCAATACCATTCCTCAAGCAAACTGAACCCAATCAACAGAGTAGGTAAAGGTAATGCTGAAGTGAGGAGAGTTCATGACTGTTCTGTACAAACTAACTTGTCATCATACAATAATCTAATGAAGGGATATACAGGAAAGTAAGGTACCTTTAATTAAGCTAATTTTTTTAGGAGGCAAGAGTGGTCACTAGGAGGATTATTCTTATAATTATGCTTACAAAAAGTATTGCTGTCATTTTCTATCATCCATTGATATAAATTTTTGCTGTCTTTCTAAAAAATACCAGGCACACTTCTGGAGCCACTAAAAAATGCAAGTCCACAGTCAAATCTCAACAGAATATATATTACTCATAAAAGGTCCTGCTTGTCTACGTTGGTCATGGTTATGATGTCACCGTAGCATGAAAACAGTTGTTCTCATGAATGGCATCATCAGTGCTTGTTCACTAATTCGGGTAATATTCTGGTGGGTAGCCAGGGAAGACAATGTTGAAAATGACGCATCCTCCGACAAAGAAAAGGAAAAAGAAAAGGTCAAGGATTCCCCCCCCAGACTGCCACGGGTAGAGCTTGTTGTCTGTCATAAAGCCGTGACTCATCATAAGACCTGGGGATTATTTTTGGTTAAGAGAGATTAGCAGCAATAGGTTTTTTCTAGTTAGTGTGTGTGTGCGGGAGGGGGGGAGTGTGTAGGGGTTGGACAAGAGGAGGGGAAATGGGGGAGTGTGTGTGGGTGGGTGGGGGTATATATGTGTGTGTATGTGTGTGTGAGATGATGATTGTAAATGTTTTTCGCGTCCATCAAGCAACTTAGTACAGACAACTCAACCTGAGTTGGATACAGCTTCCAAGCAAAAAGACAAGTATTGTAGCGACCCCTCTTCTTTTTTTCTTCAATATAGGCACCCTACACCCCCCATCGACACTTTTTAGATCATTAAGGAGGCAGGTTTCCGACCCTGATGCCAGGGACAACCTGGGCTTAGAGGGATACAACATCCCAGCAGAGAGACTAATAGATACTGAATAAAAATTTCTCTGGACTCCGGAATCGAACCCAGGTCTCCTGCATGCAACAGTAAAGAGTGACCACTACACCACAGACACCAGAAATCGAAGTCAAGTTTTTCGTGTGTAAAGCCTCTGAAAGCCTATTACACTATTACATTGTGGATGTTAAAGTCATCATGTGTGTGTGGGGGGGGGGGGGAGATTTATTATTTAAATTATTAAAATTTCCACTATCCCATGGCTGCAAAGAATGTCACTTGGAGATGAAGAGAAACAAAGAGGAGGAAAATTGCCTCATTTGCATACTCGCAGCAGTGTGATGAGAGGAAATTCTCCTAAATTGCATGTTGCCTAATAGAAGGTTTCCATTAGTTTGTAACTACTCCTTTCATGCCCCAGTTCATTCCAAATCACTGGCTCAGATTCTGAGGGATTTAATCAAAATGATAAACAGCATTTGTATAGCGCATACCCCACACTCAACAGAAAGCTATGCTTTTGCAATCTATGTTATTACCGCTGTAGACCCTAAAATATTCAGAAACATTTTGGGCTTCCTTGAAAACATACAGTGCAACCAGACGACTAAGCGCTCATTCACTAACAAACTGAAAATAGATCTTTCGCGGTCCATAGCCACTTACCCATTCACACCTGGGTGAAGTGAAGAAAATTCATGTAAAGAGTATTTCTCAAAGACACAACATAGGGCCTCTGGGGTTTCGCACCCACAGCCATTCGGACGCGAGCCCAGCAACCGAATTACTAAACCACTGTCGCTGCAAAATAAAACACACAAAATACAAAACAAACAAACAGATAAACAAATAAACAAAACTTCAACAAAAAGGACTTCTAGCCCAAAACCCACTTACCTGTGACGATGCCACCCACATGGGCTGCGATGCCGACCTTTGGGTCATCCACACCCCATCTTCTGTACACAGCTAGGGCAATCTGTGCCGCCACTGGAAGAAAGAGATTTTCACAAATTTGAGTAAAAAAATCTAGACAAGCGCAACTTTATATTGAAAGTGAAACAGATCTAGAACAAAACAGGTAGTGACAAACTTTCGGTTTTTTTTACTCCACAGCACAAAATGATTTAATGTAATAAACCAACATTGATCGCATCACTATCTTCTAAGCTTCAGAATCATTTTGTGTTGGAGGAATAATTCTAGACTTCAGTGCAGAAGCCCCCCCC